ACCAAAACTACACAGAGAAACCCTGTCTCAGGGAAAAAAAAAAAAAAAGGATTTAGCTCCATAAACCTAATGTGTTTACTGACCACCTGTGAGCTAATTCTCTGCCAATCCTGTCTATCTGTCTGTCTATCTATCTATCTATCCATCCATCCATCCATCCATCCATCCATCCATCCATCTAAGCACTGATCTATGAGCTCTCACACACAGACATTCTGCATCTCTGATCTTGTAAATTACATGTGTGGCAAAGCCTTCCTCCCTGCGAGTAACCTTTCTGTCCTCTTTATAGAAGATACAGTAGAGCTTTGGAGAAGTCAGGCTAGGGCTGACATGGGTACAGCTGATGCATTACTGGAGACCCCATGTTCACTGGCAAGGCCCCTTCTGCCTCCAACCTGTAATGTATGGACACCCCCCCCCAACCGCTCAGCACCTCATTGTCCACAGTCACACAGGTCTTTGCTCATGCTAGTCAGTGTGGGACGCAGAAGCTAGAAACAGGATACAGGAAAGCCAGATGCCCAATGTTCCCACTCAGGAGTCTCACTCCGCCCTCTCTCTAGTGTGCTCTGCCTTAGAAAGGCCATGGCATATCCCAATACCAGGCCACAGGGCCTACCATCACATCATGGATATCATCTAATCTTTCCAAGGGTACTTCTTGATTTTCTTTGGTCTCTGCATTTTTATTATCTGCAAGCAAAACACAGAGAGACATTGCTGCCACTGTATTCAAGTCCCTCACCAGACTCCCTGTAGTGTTGGGGTCCCGCTATGGATGGATGACCACTTGTCTACTAGAAGCTCCCAAGAGAGGCTTCCCTTGGGCAGCAGGTAATCTTTGAGGGCTATGCTATAGAGGTTACCTATGCCCATTCCCTCCAGCATCCTGTGCAGCATCCCACGTAGACTATGATAGGTCAGGATTGAGGGGGTGCTGCAGGTTATGACCCTCAGTAGATGCTATGGCATGAGTCTGGAGAGGACCAGCTTGAATTATGGGAACTTGAGGAATGGCCTTGGTGGAGAAAGGAGCTGGAGGAAGAACAGCTAGGGCTGAGTGTAGACATGGGACACTTAATAGCAATGTACTATGGTAGGAGTGTGGCTGCCTGGCATGTGTGAGTTTGGGAGAGTGGTGGAGACATGAAGACAGATAGATGCCAGTGAGTATGTGGAATCACCACACCTAGGATGGCAGACTTATTGGCCATATATACAAAACCCAACATGGGACAAGGCAAGTCTGATACTCCACCCATGTGCCCTTTACCTTCGCCTTCAACATTTTGAAGAACTTTGGGCAAGAAATGAAACTTCTTCTCCACCCAGCCCTTTCTTCGCAGTGTGGCTCGGATGACAGGGTAGTGTCCATAGATGGAGAAAATCTTCTTTTCCTAAAAAATAGCAGTGTTTTAACTGAAGCACTCAGCAATGAGGGAATTGAGTCAACCTGAGATGAGTTTTCAAAGGACAGCGGAACAGGCTACACCATGGGAAGACAGCATGATTTTCCCAGAGAGCACAAGAATGTCTTCAGCAATCAGAAGGGCGTGGGTGAGTGCTTGTGTGTACATGTGTGTGCACATGTTGGGACTCCACAGTTGCTGTTTATGGGTATTTATCGTTGGGTCAGGATTACAGAGGTAGTCATTTTTGCACACTCCTTCACACACTCAAGACCCAAAAAGGAGGCCAAAATACAACCGAGCAAGCCAATACTTCCTGAGCAGCTGTCTTAGTGGCCCCCACTCAGGATTTCTGGACTTGGAATAAAGGTGGAATACACAGCTATGCAATGCCTACAGGTCTAGAGAGTAACCGAGAGATTCCCCATGTGCCTCTCTTTTACACAGACGTGAGAGTCCTGGCTGGTTCCACGTCACCTTTCACAAGCTAGAGTCATTTGGGAAGCGGAACCTCCATTAAGAAAATACCCCCACCAGATTGGCCTGTGGGCCGGCCCGGGGAGGTGTTCTCTTGATTGACAACAGATGTGGGAGGGTCCAGCCCATGGTAGGTGGTGCTACTCTTTGGTAGGTGGTCCTGAGTTGTATAAGAAAGCAGGCTGAGCAAGCCATAGGAGCAAGCCAGTGAGGAGTATGCCTCTGCTTCAGTACCTGCCTCCAGGTTCCTGCTTTGAGTTCCTGCCCTGACTTACCTACATGGTGGACTACAAAGCCTGGAACACGAGGTAAACCCTTTCCTCTCCAAGTTGTTTTTAGTCATGGGGTCTTATCACAGCAAAAGAAACACTAGAGCAAGAGAGTGTGCCTCATATTTATAGGAGCTGTGGCTGCCTGAGGTAGACATGGCAGAAAGGGAGAAACTAATGAGTAACTGAGGAAGGGGCAGGGCCGGCTCAGAAGCTGCTGGAATCCTGAGTCATCACTTCAGAGATGGTTAGCTGCATGTGGATGAGCAGGTGGGTGGCTGGTGGGAGGACTAAGCTGTACTACCTCAGTCTTCCTGGCAGAGGACGAGGTCATCAGGGAAGGACTTGCCATTGATAGGACTTGATCCTGACTTGTCCCCAACAGGCTCGCGTGCTTGAGGCAAGGTCACCACATGGGGGTAGAGTGGGGATGTGCCCTAAATGTGAGCCATCTCTCACACAGTGGGCAGTTGTAGAAGAGTGAGCCAAGTGCCAGCCTCCCTCTGGTCTCCTCTATCAAATGTGTTTTCCCTCCCACACGCACGCATGCCTACGATGATGCCATCTGCCACTGAGGCGACACAGCCAAACAGGGGGAGCCACTCAAGCTCTGGCGTTTGGCTCTTAAAGCTGGGTGGCAAATAAATTTCTTGTTTTTTTTTCTTAAAAATACCTGCAGCACGCAGCTGCAGGTATTTTATGTAGCCACAGAAAAGAAGCTGATATTCATGTGGGGAACGCAAGCCACCTGCTAGGTGAAGGCAGGGACATGGCCTGTACTCAGTCACTAGCAGACTCAGGGATGAGTAGAGCCAGCTGGGGTCAGGCAGGAGGAGCGGCCCCAGGGCCACTGGAGTCCTGCAGCAGACAGACAGACCTGATAGATCATGACTGCAGGACACCCTCCCTGGGCTCTAACCAGCAAGGTGAAGGACATCAAACCACAATCACTGGCATCGTCCCACAGATGTGACAGGGTTTTGCAAATGTCATTGAGGTCCTAAATCAGTGACTCTGATGAAAAAGCAGTCAGTCTCTGGGGGGACCTAACTTCACCAGGGAGTCCCTAACAGAGACTTGAAGCTCAGAACGTCTCCCACTGATTGGCTGTTAAAACACCACAGGGGAGGGATTCTGCTGACTCTCAAAGAGCTGAAATCAGAGCCACTCAGGAAGTCAGCACAGCCAGCCTGAGATCTTGATCAGGACAACAAGCTACTGTCAAAGCCCAGGATCTGTCACAGAGATGCAAACAGAGATAAGTTGAGCCCAGAGCCCATCACAAACAGAGATAATTCAGACCTTATCACAGAGACTCAAGACAGAAACACAAGCTCAGCTCAGATTCCATCACAGAGACAAGCTGAGCCTAGACCCTGTCACACTGCAGTGCTGGGTTGGTTTTGTTGGTGGGTTTGTGTGTGTGTGTGTGTGTGTGTGTGTGTGTGTGTGTGTGTGTGTGTGTTCTGCGTCCCATATGGGTCAAAGGTAATTTTTATTTATTTACTTTTTCCCCAACATAATATTTTATTGATCATTTGGGAATTTCACATAATGCACCCCATCACACTCACTTCCCAGTCCTCCCAGGTCTGCCCCCACCCTTGAGACCCTCAAGAAAAACAAGTCCAATTTGTGTTGCCCATATACTCACTGGAGTATGGTCAAACTTCCAGCGGCCAGCCCCTTAAAGAAAACTGAGTCCTTTCCCACCCCCACCAGAAACCATCCTTATCACAATTTTTAAGAGTTCTCTTCAATGGCTTCCTGTCTAGGCTGTCCCTTTTTTTTTAGGGGGTTGGGGGTGGGGTAGGGGTCCTCACAGAAATCTTCTATGTCCCTCTTTCTCAACTGTGAGTCTGTAGTCATTGATAATGCTACAAAAGTTGCTTCCTTGCCCTTTATAGTCAATGGGAGCATGGATCGTGGACATCCATGTGACTCCTGGCATCAGTGTGTGGCCATGGACCTCAGCATGGTCTCTGGTGGCAGCACAGACCACAAACATCAACATGACTTCTAGCAGGAGCACAGACTATGGGCATCGGCATGGCCTCCAGCTGCAGGACAGACCATGGACCTCAACATGGCCGCCGGCCGCAGCACGGACCACAGACACCATCGTGGTCCTTGGTGGCAGCACTGGCCACAGACATCCACATGGTCTCTAGTGGCAACATGGCCCACAGACATTGACATGGCTTCAGGTGGCTGTGGTGGGGCTGTTTTCTATGGCTAAGTTTGTGTTGCTAGGCAACACACCTAACCTTGTCCCACTGGAAGATCTGACCCTACCCAGGAGCATGTTCAGGAGATACCTGGAGCTAAGTCCTGGTACCTATAGGAGATATATGGGTCAGAGGGCCTCACCAAATTGCCTTTCAGTGGGAACATCATCTGAATGCCCACCACCCACACATGCCAGTCTAAGTTCATAGGGCACAAGAAGCTGGCAACAGAGGCTATACAAAAACTCAGACGAAGTCAAAAGTGATATTGGCATCATCTCCATATGGGAGGAAGTCATCCAGTCAGGCTGATATACAAATAAAATTACAAAATAATTTCCCATTTTTTTTAAACACTACCCCCACCCCTGAGTCCCCAAACCCATTTACCTTGATGGCTTTTTCTGTTAATTGTCTTGCTATTTTGTATCTGTCTAATTTGGGGGAAGAAGACAAATCTTGGGGAATTCCTTGTTTTAATTCTGCAAAAGAGAAACAGACATCAAGGCAAAGGAAAGGACGGGTGGATCAGAACATCACTCCAGCCTGACTGCGGACGCACAGGGAGGCCTCATCTCCCTCCACTTGCCTCTGCCCACTCAGTGTCTGCCTGTCCTCCACTCTCCTCAAGTTCCATGGCCTCTGCCCACCCTGCCCACCCTGCCCACCCCCTGTAGTTCTCAGCCTTCTATGCCCCTGCTACCTTTTGAGAGTCTTTGGCCCAGCCCCACCCCAAGTGCTCTCCCCTGCTCCGCCTGCCCCAGGCCACTCTGGCATTGGGTAGTCTGTTTGTTTGTTTGTTTGACTGATTGATTGATTTTTAGACACAGTCCCTCTATATAGCCCTCCCTGGTTGTCCTGGAAGTTACTATGTAGGCCAGGCTGGCCTCAAAATCACAGAGATGCACCTGTCTCTGCCTCCCGAGTGCTGGGACTAAAGGTGTGCACCGCCATACCTGTCCTGCACTGGGTAGTCTTGATCCTCTCTAGATATGTGCGGTAAGAACACATACAGCCTCCCACTATCTCCACCTGAGTCCATGGCTTTTATTCAGTGGCTATCCTCCCTCCTACCTGGAGGAAAGCCCCCCCCCCACAGTCTCCCTCTTCTCTGGATGGCCTCCCTGACACCAGCTTCTCCCGTGGCAACCTTCCGATGCCAATCATTCCCGTTGGCACACACCAGACACTGCAGTGCCCTGGGCCTCTCTAGTCTCTGCCTCCCCCTATCTGCTGGGTTCCCATAGGAACCCACGCCTGCAGGGTGCACTGAGTCTTCCCTTCAGGCAGCACAGGCCCTTGGCTGACCAGCATTCCCTTCCCCGTACCCCTCATTGCTTCCCCTTCTCTCTCCAAGCCCTAAATGTGGAGGTGTGTGTGTGTGTGTGTGTGTGTGTGTGTGTGTGTGTGTGTGTATGTGTGTGTGTGTTTCAAGACAGGGTTTCTCTGTATAACAGCTGTGTCTGTCCTGGAACTCACTTTGTAGATCAGGCTGACCTCGAACTCACAGAGATCCGCCTGCCTCTGCCTCCCAAGTTCTGGGATTAAAAGCAGATGCCACCACATCTGGCTAAATGTAGAGTCTTCATAGCACATTTCTACTGTTTCCCCGAAATGTACAGATTCCTCCCAGACTACTCTGACCCCCAGTGCCTTGGACCCCCCAAGGAGCTTCAGGAAACATCAGTCCCATCCTGTCTACCTGATCTTCCCGTGGCTCTCTTCATCCTAAATCCACAGGTACCAGAGACATGGACTTCAACTAAAGCACAAAGCAACTGGGGGGAGGGGGGGGCGGCGTGGCTAAGAACTATACGTCCATGCAGAAAGGGCAAGTCCTATCTGCCACCTGAATTCATTCTGAAGCATGTGAAAGCCACACAAAACTCCTAGCAGGAGGAAAATCATCACAACCTCACCTAGGCAAAAATTCTCAGATGGCACACACAGAAAATAAAAGTCGGGCTTGGTAAGTTTGGAACTGTCAAAATTAGAATGTTCAGGGGCTGGGGCTGTAGTTCAATTGGTAAAGTGCTTCCCTGGCAAGCATGAGAATGTGAGTCCCATGAGCAGCCATGACATAATATAAAGTTATACACAGTGTCCATGCATTTGCAATTCCACTGGGAAGGGGGAGATAAGGGGATCCATGGGGTTTGCTGGCCAGTTTGTCTAACCTATCAAGTGAGCCCCAAGTCCCAGGGACAGACCTTGCCTCAAAACAAGGTGGATGACTCCTGAGGAGTGATACCAAAGGTTGAACTCTGGCCTTTGCACATGTATTATGTGCACATGAATGTGGACACAAGCATACGTAGCACAAAAAATAAAATGTTCTGCTTCATTAAGAAAATGAAAAGGCAAACCATAGACTGGGAGCAATATTTACAAATACACCACTTGGACACAAAAAGGTATAGAGTGATGGACTCCATGTAGACAAGCCCTGACCAGAGCTGGCAAAAGACCCCTATAAAAGTGAAGACCAGAATAGGGGACAGGGGTGCGTAGGAAAGGGTGTGAGGAGAGCAAGTCCGTAAAGATGGTCAAATACTAATGCCTCCAAATGCAAGGAGCAGAAGTTATCAAACAAGAAGAAACCATTAAGTCTGTAGTCACAGAGTTAGTACGTGGCTTTCAGCAGTGGATGGAATGAACAAAGAGGCCAGTGGGAACACACACGACCAGCAGGACACCTCCCTGGACTTAAACCAGCAAGGTGACAGGACATCAAACCACAATCATTGGCATCATCTCACAGATGTGACAGGGTTTTGCAAATATCACTGAGGTCCTAAATCAGTGACTCTGATGAAGAAGTAGTCAATCTCTGGGGCGGGGTGGGGGGGGTGCTAACCTCATCTGGAAGTCAGCACAGCCAGCCTGAGATCTTGGTCAGGACACCAAGCTACTGTCAAAGCCCAGACTCTATCACAGAGACTGACACATTCATTATTATTCTAGAATAGTCCTTAAAGTTGGTCTTAAAGAAACTCTAGGCTAATTTCAAAGGGTTTGGAAGTCATAAAAATTCTCCTGGCCACAGAGCAATTAAGTCAGAAATCAGTATAAAAATAACAGAAAACAGCTGGGCAGTGGTGGCTACAGAGTGAGTTCCAGGAAAGGCGCAAAGCTACACAGAGAAACCCTGCCTCGGAAAAAAAATAAATAAATAAAATAAAATAAAATAAAAACCTTAAAAAAAATAACAGAAAACTACTGAATATGTGTAGATTAGCAAATGTACTTCTAAATAACCAGTGGGTAAGGAAAAAAAATTCAAGATGTGAAGTCTTTTACCTGGTTAACCAAAGACAACTAAAACACCAAATTTTAAATCTATTAAAGCTGTGTCTACAAAGAAATTTTGTAAACAAAGAAATCTCTCCAGGGCTGGAGAGATGGCTCAGTGGTTAAGAGCACTGCTCTTCCAAAGAACTCAGGTTCAATTTCCAGGACCCACATGGCGTGGCTGTTGTTCTTCCAAAGGCCCTGAGGTTCAATTCCCAGCACCTGCATGGCAGCTCACAACTGTCTGTAACTCCGGCTCCAGAGGATTCCATATTCTCACATGTTGTGTGATATTTTGACTGTATTCTGACAAATAAAGCTTGCTTGGAGTCAGGGTGGGGCCAGCCACTAGCTGACCAAAATTAACCAGAGAGGTTTGGAGGACTGGAGACAGAGAGGAGACAGGAAGTAGTAAGGTGGGGCCAAGAGAGGATCTTGGGCCCCTTTTGGTCAGAGGAATCCGAGAGGTAGGGAGAACTGGCGGCTGTTCCCTGTACTCTGATCTTTCAGGTTCTTACCCTAATATTTGATTCCCAATTTTTTATTGATAAAGATTAATTAGATTAACGCTTCACTCACACAGACATGCAGACAGAACATCAATACACATAAGATAAAGAATACATTAAAAAAAAAAGAAGTTTCAAGTTGTAAATACACCTAATTAGAAAATAATAAAGGCTAAAAGCATTGATCCATAGCTGGGTGTGGTGTCACACGTCTGTAATCCCAACACTTGGGAGTTGGAATTGCTGGAAAATATGGAGTTGAAATGCAATCTTGGCCACAGGAGTTCCACGGCAGGTGAGATACATAAGACATTGTCTTCAGGAACCAAAACCAAACAAAACACAACGATTTAAGCATATATCTCAGCAAGTTGGGAAGAACACAGTAAATGTAATCTCAAAGAAACTATTAAAGGGGACCGACATTAACGAAATATTTTCAATACAATAAATCAGATTGACCAAGCCAAAGGCTTAAGACTGGTCAAATTCATAACTCATTGGTGAGATTTGTTAATTAAGAAGATGGGAAGTGAGTAGAGAGAGTTCAGTGGTTAAGAGCACATACTGCTCTTGGAGAGAATCTAAGTTTGGTTCCTAGTACCCACGTCAGATGGCTCACGACTGCCTGATACTTTAGCTACTCTGGCCTCTGCTGGAACCTACATTCATAAGCACATACCAACCCACAGCTATCATTAAAAATAAATCTTCTTTTGCAAAAAGGCGAAAGGCATACAAAGTAACAACAAGGCAGGAGAATTCCTTAGATATTTAAAAACTAAGAGGTGTGAGTTAAAGTTCCCCGAAGACAGAGAGGAGGGATGGGGGTGGGGGGGGCTGAACCTGTGTTAGAGGTTCTACAAAGCCAAATGACTGAACTTAGAGATATGGAGAGTTAAGAGTTAAAAAGTTGCAGACCAGAGCCTAATTATCTTGGGCTATTTTTAGTCCTTGGAATGCCATTTGTTGCCCACATGTATCTGACCTAGCATCCTTGTGATTACCAAACCTTTCAAATATGTTCTTAGCAGACCACTAGCCTCCATCAATCCAAATCTAAAAATATCATCAGGTGTCATTGGAAACCTGTGGCCGAGTTCTGCCCGCTTTGCTGTCTGTCATCTGCCTACCCACAGCCCGACGCCTCAATCTAGGACTGACTGTCTTTGTTTTGTAACTAGTAGTCAACTGCTTCCACTGAGGATCATGGAATTTGAGTTAAGCTAAATCTATATCCCAGTCCATGGTCACTCACATTTGGCTCCAGAATAAACTATCTCCTGTCCCTCTGAAGTAAGGGCTATGTTTGATACTGACAGAGGTGACTATGAACTTCATGGCAATCAACTTGAAATTTAGATAAAATAGCCACATCCCATGACTCTGAGGTTAAGAGCACTGGCTGCTCTTCTATAGGTGCTGAGTTCAATTCCCAGCACCCACATGGCGGCTCACAACCATCTGTAATGAGATCTGGCATCCTCTTCTAACATGGAAGCATACATGCAGGCAGAACACTGTATACATAATAAATAAATAAACCTTTTAAAAATAATAGTCAAATCCCTTGGAAAATACAAACAGAAGGTAAAAAGAATACTCTAATACAGGAGTCAACCAATCTGAGTTTAAAACCTTCATATTACAAACACTCCAAGCCTGATGCATCACGGAAGTTT